TGATTAGTTTTTTCAACAAAAGACAATTTTTCTGATTTTTTCCCATAATAGAAACCCCAGATAACCAGATAAAATAAATATCAATTGTAATACCTTTTACAAATAAATTACAAAATTACCTTTGTGGATCGAATTTTTCTGGCAAAAAATGAATTTTATAAAATTATAAATTATACAGGGTGTTCGGCTACTGGTGGGCATAATTTTAGGGGGTGGTAGCTGGAGTGATTCTGAACAACTTTTTCCTTTACCAAAATGCTGGTTAAAGCTTAGTTTTTGAATTATTAATGAAAAACACTGACCAATGAGAACGCGTATAGACCGGTCGCGCGACAGCGTGAGCGACAGCTTCGAATATGACGGCCGATGGTCGTCGTGAACAAATGACCAAATCACCGAGGCCGCGTCCCGCAAAGGTACGATAAAAATACAACTTCGTTAACAATATTTACAATATAAAAATGAAAATTCCTTTTTATCCGTATTTTATACTTACTAGTATACTTTTCACATAAAAAATTACAAGAAAATACAACAACTTTTAAATAGAAAAATTAACAAAAAAGCGTCATTTTTTAATATATTATTTAAACAAATGCGATTTTTTAAAATCCATTTAGACAGTTGGATTCCGCATTAAAAAATACACAACTTTGCAATTTAAACCATCCCTCTAGCTCTACTGGTTCCCGAGATATTCCACAAAACGTGATTCTCACCCCCCACTTTGAGGGTTATTTTCACCCCCTTAACATGAATGATGGCAGTTAAAAAAAAATACGTGTCGAATATTTTTTCGAGAACTATTATTAGATGCTATTATATAATATAGAACTATTATATCCAAGTTTCATAAAAATTGGAAATTATCACTTCGGAATGGTGCCTTGTCAGTCAGAACCGCTCGCATTCCCCGACACTTCGCCTGCCCTTCTCTTGCACGCAATTGGGGTCTGCATGCCCTCGGTGCCATTGGCTGCTGCCAGGCAGCAGCCCTGGCCTTTACTTGCCTGAGCATGACCATCATCTGCCCCTCCTTTGCTTTGTGGGGCCTCGCATTTGCACTCCCGGTCAGTCCTCTTCTCGGACGCGAACGGATTCGAAGCGTGAGGGGTTCTTCCCGTGACCGGGGCCGCGGATTCCTCTTCCTCCTGGTGGTGGCCGCGCGTAAAGGTGTCGGCGGGGAGGGACGCGCGAAGAAAACATACAGAAAGGAGAAAAAAAACACGCATCTTTCCATACACCCCGCGGCGAGGAGTTTGGCAGGGCGGAGGAGTGAGGCCGGCAATCTGGGGGCTCCTCGTAACGAGGCATAGAGAAAACAAGAGAAAACAAAAGGAAAGAAAATATGCCTTGTTACAACTTCCTCTCCTATATTCAATCATACACGCATTCCTATTACGACGAACTGTCCACCCGATCCACAGTCACTCTTCATTCACACTGCAATCGATCCAAACACTCTTCATTCGCACCTCGCTTGATCTATACCGCACAAACATTCTTATTTCGCACCCCACAAAAATATGTTCTGTCGTTCCGGAAATGGTGTGTTCGGTGAAGTCGGGATGGGAGTGTGATAGGTTGGCTCATGGGTATCTAAAACAGCTTAATTGAGGAAAGGTCTTCTGTATGGGCAAGTATGATACTCGTGGTGTGATTTACCGCAATATTGACAATCGACTAGTCGTACCGCGTATGATGTAGGTGGGGCCATAAATCTAGCTTGCCTATTTTTTACATGCTCCTATGCAACGCATGCATTTTCTATTGCCTCTAATCTAGCTTGCCTATTTTTTACATGCTCCTATGCAACGCATGCATTTTCTATTGCCTCTTTTAGATTTGCGGGTGATGTAAATCCGACTTTATTTTCTAATTCGGTACTCCTTAAGCCGGATATAAAACTTTGTAGAGCGCTTTGTTCGAGACCGCATATCATACCTCGTGCTATATCGGTGGAATTGATTTCGCGAATAGCTTCTTTCGCTTGGTTTTGTATACTTTCGATTCGTCTACCGAAATCTAAGGGCGACTCCCTCGTTTCTTGTCTTGCGAATGCTAATTCGATTTGCCATTTAGACTGACTTTGTCTTGGAACGTACACGCGTTTTATTTCGAGTAACATATTGCGCAGATTGTCAGCCGGCAGGGAACCCAAGGCAATATCAGGATCCCCGTAGATTTTGGTTCTAACTACACGCGCTAAGAATACCGAATCTGACGGTCGGATTAGGCTGCTGACCGATTTGTAGGCACAAATAAATGTACTAGGAGGAATATTATAACCATCGAAACCCGATATACATTCCACGGCTTCCTTTACGCTATAGAAATTATTCTCGGCTGCTGCCGGTACATTATTTCTGCTCGAAGTCGCGTTATCACTAAATGTTAGCCTATTGGATAATCGTTCCGCTAATTCGTTGGTATTTGGCATTTTGATAATCTGATTTAATGTTTCGGATGCGCGATTAAATGTTTATATAAGATGATTGTCGATTCCTATAACAAACTTGCAGAATAATGTAGAGTATTAGAGTGACCATGTCGTGGAAGAACGCTGTGGTTTTACTTAATCGCGCGACAGCTGGTTGGTTGACTCGTGCAGGTCGATGTCCAGGCGGCGATACAGAAACTGCTTTGCTTCACTTTTTCTTTTACTTTCTCCAGAAAGTGACTCGTTTGATTCCGAATCATTGTAGAGATGACCAGCCGATAAATGATAATGCTACCGTTGTGGATGCTGGTCGTTTTTGGATGACGAAATAGTTGCTTCGCACTTGGGACGGTCAACACCGCTGCCAACAAATACATGTATGTTATATCCCCACCAGTGTAGCAGGTGGAATAACAACCTCAAGGAAAAATCGTACTTCCTCGAGGAAGTACGAAGAAAATCAACTTGATTTACGCAGATTCAATATGTATAAAAATGTATATTTAGCAAACTGCCTCTAGTGGAGTGCTTTACACGAGTGTCGCCTCTTCGTTCTGCCTTGATAAGGAAAACATCAGGGCTAGGAATTCTGGCCTGAAGGGGAGTTATTTTCATCACCACACTCGGCCATCCTGACCAAGACCATTTGTCCTCAAATGTCACCGTTGGTATCGAAATCGCAGTCCTCTAAGGCAGTGGTCCATGGCTTCATATAATTGGCAGCGGAGGAAATCATATTTGGTCCCCCATGTTCCTCTATTTTTTCTACTACGTACTGATTATTTTGTAGCACGATTTTCTTGGAACATGAGGATCCATTCTTTTTCAGTTATTTCTCTTACCGAAGGGTCTTTTTTTAGCTTCATATGTATCCCGAATAAGAGATTAAAGGGCGTGGTACCAATACTTCAATGAGGGGTGGTATTTAAAAATTGTTGAGCCACGTACATTGTGTACATATTTACAGTATTCTCTCCGTAAATGTTAACAAGATCTTCACCGTAAATGTTAGAATTCTATCCCCACTACTGGGAGGATCCCCCTCGAAATTAGTCAAGAATGAAACACGATCAGTCGCCGAAACGACGAGGATCGAATATCGGTGAGATACATACTAACGCAAGCAAAGAAAAAGATAGCAACTTTCTTATTTTTTACTATTTTTTCATGAAACTTTTACTGTCGTATTTGTCCAGTTTTCCTTATTAAAATGACACCAAACATGATATAATTACGTTAACAATTGCGTGTGTAACGAGTGACTAAAGTTTTTAATATAAAAGAGGACGACGAATGGAAAAGAAAGAGAGGCAGAAGGTTGAAACGTTTGGAAAACATGAAAGACTCGTGCGTGTTCTTTTAAATTCAAAAATCAAAATTCTTTATTTTTTGCTTTTCGTCAATGGAACTTTTACCATGGTATTTGTCTTGTTTTTCTGATCAAAATGACACCAAACACGATATAATTATGATCGTAATTACTTATGTAACAAGCCATAAAAGTTTCGAGCTTTCACACTTACGGCAAACTTTACATTTACGGCAGAAATACGAATTCCTCCTAACGGCTTGGTATACAAGTAATTACAATTTTAATTATACTGTGTTTGGTACCATTTTAATCAGAAAAAATGAGACGAATACGATAATTAGTTTCATTCATGAAAAACAAAAAATACAGAATTTTGATTTTTGAATAATTGTTGGATGACCTATCTTAAACAAATAATAAGTCATAGCCAAACCATGACTCTCTCGATGCACAACAACAAAAACAGCGTACATCCACTATTAGTCATAAGGGCTAAGGTCGTCCTCCCCCACTAGAGGGGGGAGGATATATATATACAGTCAGTGTAAAAAGTATTCGTAGAGTAATTAATTTCAACAAAAATGTTGTGGTAAAGCGGTTTTATTCCTCAACCCGGATTCCAACATATTTTTATTTTCTGTTAAAGTTGAGTTCGGCGTAACCATAGAGGTTTTAAATCCAATAAACATTTAGTATAGTAAAGCGGTTTTATTCCTCAACCCGGATTCCAACATATTTTTATTTTCTGTTAAAGTTGAGTTCGGCGTAACCATAGAGGTTTTAAATCCAATAAACATTTAGTATAGTAAAGCGGTTTTATTCCTCAACCCGGATTCCAACATATTTTTATTTTCTGTTAAAGTTGAGTTCGGCGTAACCATAGAGGTTTTAAATCCAATAAACATTTAGTATAGTAAAGCGGTTTTATTCCTCAACCCGGATTCCAACATATTTTTATTTTCTGTTAAAGTTGAGTTCGGCGTAACCATAGAGGTTTTAAATCCAATAAACATTTAGTATAGTAAAGCGGTTTTATTCCTCAACCCGGATTCCAACATATTTTTATTTTCTGTTAAAGTTGAGTTCGGCGTAACCATAGAGGTTTTAAATCCAATAAACATTTAGTATAGTAAAGCGGTTTTATTCCTCAACCCGGATTCCAACATATTTTTATTTTCTGTTAAAGTTGAGTTCGGCGTAACCATAGAGGTTTTAAATCCAATAAACATTTAGTATAGTAAAGTGGTTTTATTCCTCAACCCGGATTCCAACATAATATTTTCTGTTACTGCGGATTGTGCCAGTCAGGTATGTCTGTTTTTCGAATAATGATCTCGCTAACAACATGCTTATGAAATAATTGTCGACCGCCACGTGAAACCCTTTCATAAAATAATTGCCCATATTCAATAACTTATGTACTGCGACATAGCCAAGACCGTTTGTTCTTATTTCATCTTTATTCGTTGGATTTGTGGCTCCTCTATAACAAAAAAATGATAAACAATAATGATTAGTTGTATCACTCAGCATCCAAAATTTGATGCCCCATTTGTGATGCCTTTTATTTGGCAGATATTGTGTCAACGACGTTCTACATTTCGTATCAACTAAAGATTCGTCAATACTTAGATGTTGATGAGGCAAATAGTGATATTTGAATTTATTATTTGCGTGGGTAACGACTGGTCCAAATTTTGCTTTAGGATCATATTCTGGGCTATCGTGTGCTGCTAATTTGTTATTGTCTACAACGTGGAAAAACTTACAAATTAATTGGAATCTATTTCGACTAAAATTTGGCCAAACCATGAAATGTGCCTATGATTTGTTGACCAATAACTAAAAAGTGTTGGTCTGCGTGTAACGCCCATTTCTAGTAGAAAAGCAATAAATGCCCTCATTTCTGACACTGTGGTTATCTTCCATTCTGCTGCTCTGCTGATGGGACATCAATTCTGTTTAGAACCTGCCTGGCATATTGATTTGTTTCAGTCCTCAACGAGTTCAAAAATTCCTCGGTAAAAAATAAATCAAAATACTGTCTGAGTGTGGAATTTCTTGGTGGCATATGTTTTGGTCCAGCAATTTCCATAAATTGTGGGTGAGGATTATGTTGGCTGTCATTGGCCACGGTAACTTCACAGAAATTGTTCAATGCTTTCTCAAGATCTGGTTCGGTATCACTCGCTTCACTATCACTGTATATCCTACATGGATGCCGACTACTTGGTGCCACGATTTCTTCATCGTCACTAAGTGGTGGATCCAGTTGGTCAAGTATTCGGACTAACTCTGCTTCATCCATGACGGTGTATTTTTTATAAAAATGTTGATGGCAAAATTTTAGAAATACACTGTTGCTAATTATTGCTTTGTCAAAAACAAAAATTACGCTTTGAAACTCTCACTGAGACGAAACGAAATATACTGCTCACGACAACGATCTAGGAAAAACTAACTGATCCTATGTCTCGCTGCGTCAATGCAGTCTTATTTCGTGAGAGTTTTCAAACAGTTGTTTATATAAAGTGCTATCAACATGTTCGTATAAGTGCCCAATGCCACGGCGATTCACGCTACAGGTCGGACGTCGCCTGAGCGGCAAACATCGGTGTTTATGTTAGATTTCGTTAGCTCCAAGCGATAGGAAAAAGACGTCGTCCACAAAGAGTTAAAATGAAAAATTATTTTCTTTAAGTCTCTCGTAATGAAATTTGACCATTTATAACGTATTATAAATTTATTTTGAGATAGAATTCTCCCGCAATGCGAATAGTAAAGCGCTACGAGGTGCGGGCCCATATATCGACTCTGGCACTTCTCGCCAGTGCAGCAAGAGTCCATATATCGGCTCCCGGCACTAAAAGGGTTAATACAGGTTCGATACACAAACCGTTCCGTAGGGTATTAAACGATCTTTCTTGGCCATCCCCCCATTGGAAATTTTCGTTCTTTTTTAAAAGTGAGGTGAGGGGTTTCGCGATGTGCGAGAACTTTTCGATGAAGCGGCGATAATATTCTACGAGGCCCAGAAATTCCCCGACGTTCTTTGTCGTTTTGGGGCGCGGAAACTCCCGTATGGCTCTTACCTTTTCCGGGCAGGGTTTAACGCCCTGGTCACTGATCACGTGGCCCAGATAGGCCACTTCTTTCCGAAGAAAGCAGCATTTGGCGGGTTGGTGGTAATTTGAGGTTGGCAGTTCGCAGCCGATCAGCGAGTCGCCGGAATTTAATTTCGTGATCTGTCAGGGAGCTTGCATAAAGCACAATGTCGTCGATGTAAATAAAAAGCTCCGTCCATTGAAGACCCTGTAGGGCGACATCTATAAGTCGCTGGGGAATTGTGCAATCCAAAAGGCATGCACTTAAATTGATAGTGTCCAAACGGGGTAGAGAAGGCCGTTTTTGGAGCGTCTTTGACGCTCATTCCAATCTGGTCGAAACCGTCCGCCATGTCGAATAAACTGAAATATTTGGCGCTCCCTAGTTGATCTAAAATGTCTACGATGTTCGGCAAGAGGTACGCCTCCGAAATAGATTTCTCATTTAAGGCTCGGTACTCGGTCACGATTCTCCATCGTTTATTCCCGTGTTGATCTAGTTTATTGGGCACCACCCATAAGGGAGAATTGTATGGCGACGTGGAGGGCGTGACAATTCCGTCTGATAGAAGTATAGACATTTGGTTGTTGATTTCTTGTCTGCGGATAGGTGGGTATCTATATTGACGAACGTGGACGGGAATATTGTCAGTTGTAGGAATTTCATGTTCTACTAAAGTAGTTTTCCCTAATCGATCCTCGGGCAGATGGAAGACATCATGGTAATTTCTTATGAGTTGAGTAACATGTTCCTTTTCGTTTAAATTTAGATGTTCCATATCGCAAATATCAAGGATTTCCTTGACCCTTTCCTCGGGGGTGCGTTCGATTATGACTGATCCTACGTGGTAATCTATGGCGTAATCAGCGCGAGGTTCTGTAGAATATTCGTGGATTTCCTCTATGTGGTATGTGGGGACTGGTAGAGAGATTCCCTTGTCGTTTAGGTTACGACAGCCAATGAAACTTTGGAAGAGCACGGCTGGCTGTCGTGGCGAGCGCATGTGCTCGGGGGTCACTCCGCGTTAAAGTTCAATTTTGGTGGGAAAAGTGGTAAAAGTGTGGTGGATAGTGTTGTGAAGTGAGGGGAAACCGCGGGGGAAGCGAGCGATGAAAGTTTTGTGAAAATCGGAGATGAAATGGTGAAGTTATAAATAAAAATCGAAATTTGTGTTTTATGGACAGGGAGGTTCCGGCTCGACGGGGGGCTGTGGTTGTTGACGCGAGATCTCCTCGCGTCTTCTCTGTCTTTCACGGCAGAGTCTCTCCCTGACTCCTCCTCGACGTTGCTTCTTGTTTAGTCTTTTAGTTCGAGTGCGGTTGGGGTATTTTGAGGACTATATGGAAATGAACTTTAGATAAAATCCAAAATTAATTGTAATAACTGCGATAAGACCGGTTGTTCATCTTGACTTGTTCCATGTTAGATCGACTGTACCGCCTTACGCTCGGGCCTCAAATCGCTGCCTCAAATCGGCAGCCTGGGAAGCACTAATTCAGATGCAGGTTGCCGTCCGGGAGCCTCGGTAGCTCACCAGGGTTGACGAACCTGACGATCGGATGCTCTTGGAGCTAACCAGTATTTAAGGCAGATACTGGGGGGCGTCGGGACGGCCCTGTATCCAAGGAAAGGATTGAGTATGGTGCACACCACTGGGTCTTACTAACGCGTACCGTATGGCAATTGCCGTTAGTGATTATAATAATTGTCGCGCTACCACAACCGCACTTGATAAATCCCCGTAAAGCGACTCAATGATTATTCGCGACTTCGATGCACCGACTTCCGACGTCCGAGCGTTAATTAAGGATAAGGGGAGGCAAGTGAAAAAGTCGAATGAACAAAAAATAAATATTTAATGACTTACGTGTAGTTATAATTTGTGGACTGCTGCGAGCGACTGACTGACTGTAACTGCTGCTGTCTGTAACGGACTGACTGAACTTTTGCTGACTGTGACTGACTCTTGGGCCCGCGCGGCCCGTATATTAATGCGCGCTTATCGCTTCGGAATGCGCGATAAGCCGGTCCAGACGCTGATGCTGCGTGGGACCAGGTGCCCGACGCTTTTTCGTTGACACCGTATGCAACTGAATATCGTTGCGGATTAAGCATCTATGCAACCGTTGGGCGACGGTTGGTAAAATATCGTATAGCGGCTGGAGCGAGCTTATCGGGCACGTACAATTAGTCGTATATCTAATTGCCTAAATGCTTGAGCAGCGTCTTTGATTCGTTGATCACGCATTACATATTGTGTTGCTCTAGGTTATAAAGTGCTGATGATGTGTCAGCGTTTTATAAAAGAATAAGCGCTGATGCGGCCTTATTTTCCGCGTGGACTTATGCGTATGTATATAAGTAGGTACGTGTGGTTTTGTGACGCAAAAAGGGAAAAGAAAGAGAAAAATATATATATATATAGGTAGTGGGGAGGAGGCGGAACGTAACAATATTATTTAAATAAATAGTTTCTCCCGAAATTTTTGACACTAACTAAATTTCTGACTAAAAACTACACAATTTAAAAAAAAATTCACCTTCCTACACCCTCTAGTTTCTGAGATATTAAGGAAAATGTGTTTTCAACCCCGAACTTTGAGGGCTATTTTCACCCCCTCAACATGGATGTCCGCAGATATAAAAAAATACGTGTCAAATGATTTTTGAAAAGCTACCACATATGTCAATTTCATTAAAATTGGGGTGTAACACCTTGGTGATGTCCCTTGTTAGAATGAATGCCTCGTCGCCGAGGCAATGGTAACCTCGACTCTCGTTGTTATCTTTGTTTTGTCTATTGCGGGGCCTCATCCCGCTGGTGGCGATAAGGTCGGACTACCGGTGGTCACATAACTCGTGCGCCTCGTCGCGAATGTTCTCGCACGCGTCTCGTCGCGAATGTTCCGGCGCACGGCCTCGCGAATGTTTTTTCACGCTTGCGCCGCATAGTGAATGTTCGCGCGCGTCTAGAATTTTCGGCGGCGATCCGCCACACAGCCAAATCGATCGCGCTCACAGTATAAGTGAATTTATCTAATTGGGAATTTCAAACAACTCCGAGCGTCTTCATCGGGTTCTCCTCTATCGCGTGGTCCAAATCAAAAATCTTTTCCGTGTTATCGAGCTTGTGGTGATGATTAGAAGCCTACTGGCGCATGTTGAAATCGCCGCTCTGTAGAAGCTCGATTACTTCGTCCCGAATTTGCAAGATTTCTTCCAGGGAGTTTGTACCTGTCAATAAATTGTCGACATACAAATCACGATTGAGTATACGGGAGGCTAATGGAAACTTTGCCCTTTCATCGTCCGCGAGCTGGGAAACGGTTCGAATCGCTAAAAACGCGGCGGAAGACACGCCGAAGGTCACTCTATGAAGTTCCCATACTCTCATTTCGTCGTTGTGGTACCAAAAGATGCGCTGATATCGACGGTCACCAGCGTGAATCAAAACCTGCCGATACATTTTCTCAATGTAGGCTGTTAACACGTTGCCGCACACTTTTTATTTGACGATCGCGCTCAGAAACGCACTTTTTTTTTCAATTATTTATGACTGCCAGATGGAATCAAGTGTAAGTTGTATGTTTGCAAGTGAAAATTATCACATTTGGCCACAGTTTTTCCAAAAAAACTCTCGACGGCTATAACCGTCATTTGCTCATCATGTCATTTTTTCTCTTCCCAGAGCAAATGACGGCTATGACCGTCGTGACGACTATACGGCATTTGCTTTACTAATTCAAAATGATTCCTATGAATAAAAGAGAGTAAATAGGTGAATCTTAACACAAGAAAATCAGTTTAAAACAAAATTATCATTTGTAATTTATTTTGCTTACAAAATAGTAAAAATGAAATAAAAATTAATTCAGGAAACAAATTACATACATACAAGAAAGCATTATAAATGATAGGATTCGAAGCATTCTGGACACAATGGTGGTTTATGCGGACAGGTTTTACATCTATATGACGTTTCTTTTCTAATTCGGTTGGCCGAACATTGTTTACAACGTAAAAAATAAGTTTTACGCTGAAAATCAACAGGTGGAGGTATCTTGTCCAAGAAATGTTGTTGTGGACAATTTGTCGATGTCAGTGGTAATGTATTTATTTGTTTCGGTCGACCACGCGTGGGTGTTAATGCCGCTAAATTCTTTCCAGAAATTACAGTATTAGGTAGTGCGATCAGTGATTGTA